CAGTATACAAGTGAGGTGAACAGAGTGCAGGCAGGGTGAAGTGAGTGTCAGGGCTGATTTGTGACAGAAAAATAGTAGCAAGTGTAAAAGGAATTATTCAAAACATAGTAGTGAGACCTGCTATGATGTATTGTTTGGAAAAGCTAGTACTGACAAAAAGAGGGTTGGTGTGACAGAAGAGAATGGGATGAAGTGAGATGGAGGCAAATGAGCTGCTATGGTGACCCTAAAGTGAGCAGCTGAAAGAAGAACTTGAACGCTAATTTCTTGCGTGTGTAGTAATCTGATATTTGATTTTAAAACCTCTCTGTGCTGTCTACAGGAGTGTCCCTCTTGGAGCGGCTGATGAATAACTTCTCTATGTACCAGAAGAACGCTGATGATGTGTTCAACAGCTGTTTTGTCACCAAGCTGCTGCGTAACTACAGGTGTGCTAGAAGAGATAATTTAAGGATGCTTGGTAATAAAAAACTGAAAGTTATTGCTTGATTTCCAACAATGCATATTTCTTCTTTCAGGTCTCATCCTGCCATTCTTGAGGTTCCCAATGAGCTCTTCTATGGTGGGGAGCTGCAGCCTTGTGCAGATGAGTATGCACAAAACTTCTACTGTGGATGGGAACACCTACCAAAACGGGTACAAAGCACATGCTGCACTGTTAAAGTACAAACAACTCATATACACATCCAGACGTCTTCTTCTGTTTTTTCGGCACTGGGTTGCAGCAGCTTTGATTGAACTCAAAGCATCAAAAGCCCCACTTCACAGCAACACAAATATTAAAAGGTACAACAACCATACCATTCTACCAATGCACTATTATTTTACATCTTCTAGAACTTCCCAGTGATCTTCCATGGGGTGACTGGCAAAGACGAACGTGAGGCCAGCAGCCCTTCTTTTTTCAATGTAGCTGAAGTGGAGGTGCTGATGGACTATGTGCGGAAACTGCTGCAGGCACAAGGCAAGAGAGGTGTGGCGAAGATTACACCCCGAGACATAGGCATCATCGCCCCCTACAGGAAGCAGGTATAAATTAATTTCCAATGCACTGATGTAGTGGTTCCCCCTAGAAACTAGAGATGGACCGATCCGATATTAGGTATCGGTATCGATACTAATGTAAATTACTGGATCGGATATCGGAGAGAAATAAAAAATGTAATCCAATCCATTAAATATCAAAAAAGCACCTCACAAAACTTGCAACATGACGTAATTCGGCTCATAACCGTAGCACGTCGCAGCAGTAGGCCTCACGTGAGAGAGCGGCTGTGTGTATTTGTAGCCTCACTAGCAATCCGGCATTTCATCTCAGAGGAAGTTATCCCAGACAGAAGTAAAGTAAAAATGTGTAAGTTCATCTCTGAATGTTTGTAAAGCATTCCTGCGTTAAGCTTAACAACCGATATATGGAGCGGATCCTCTTCTCTCTCCCTCTCTCTCCTGCTGCTACTTCAATCATGAAACTGATCAATGATCAGCTGATCGTCTCTCTTGTTTGCTTATTGCTCACTGCGTGCCAGAAAGAGGAAACTAGCGGCTGAACAACAGCAGCACGTTTAAGCTTGATCAGCTGTTGTTAGAATTTATTTAATATTACTTTCTACACCAGGATCTTTTTCTACGTAGCTGACGCTGGTAACTGTGCAGGGGCGGATCTAGCAAAGTTTAGCCAGGGGGGCCGATAGGGCACGAACAGGGAAAAGGGGGCACAAAGACATACTTTTCTTTCTTATTCTCATTTAAAATGTCGAGCTTTTAATAAATAATCATCTGAATCTTACACCCAAAGTTTTAATCTGATGTAAAACGTATAGAAGTCCATTACTGTATATAGTAACTATTACGGTAAGTCTAATATACCCTAGTAAGCTATAGTACTTTTTCCTTTGGGAAGGTACCATCTGTGCAGTTCTGTTGAAGAAAGATGTTGAATCTATTTAAATATTCTTGGAAAATAATTGATTTCGGTGCATTTTTTTCACACTGCATGAAATTAAAGTTGATTACATCAATTAAGCATCATGAGGTGGAGGGTGGGGGGTGGTTCCCTATTTTTTTTTTTGCTGGGTGTTTTAGAGCCCTATTTGTTAGGTTGCTTACTCTTTAAAATACTTTAAAATACCAGAATACGGAGGATGGTGCAGGTTTAAGTTCATTAGATTGATCAGTTTTGCTGAACTATGAAATATTTTGGGTGCAGCGTATTTTTTGCATACAGGTATAACAGAATAGTTTTAGTGGGGTTTTTTTTAACTTGAGTATGAACTTATACAAAAAGCAGCAAGATATTAAAAAACTGTTTTATTGATTAAAAAACACTATATCGGATTCATATCGGTATCGGCAGATAAACAAATTTATGATATCGGTATCGGACATAAAAAGTGGTATCATGCCGTCTCTACTAGAAACCTTTACTATAACTACAAATGAAAACATGTGGAAAGCTTAATATACAGGTTATTGTTCATGTTTTTTTTTTTTTTTTTTTCCCCCCATTTCAAATAGGTGCAGAAAATCCGCAAGGCACTAGATAAAGTTGGTAAAGACTATGAATTTGTGAATATGGACACCCTTAAGGTAACTGAATGTTTGACACTGAAACACTATAAAACATTAATTTTTTATAGCGTTTTATAGTATTAAGTGTGTCAGAAAGGCATATTCATTTGTGTGTGTGTGTGTGTCAGGTTGGTTCGGTGGAGGAGTTCCAGGGCCAGGAGAGGAGAGTGATTTTGGTGTCTGCAGTTCGAAGCAGCCCCGATTACACAGAGATAGACAAGGATTTCAACCTGGGCTTTGTCAAAAATGAGAAGGTAAACAACACAAACGCATGCACAAACACAGAGCCCACATTTACAGATTATTGTGACACGTTCTTTTGTTGTCCAGAGATTTAATGTGGCTGTGACTCGAGCTAAAGCCCTGCTGATTGTGGTGGGAAACCCCAGAATTTTGGAAACAGATTCCACCTGGGCCCGGCACGTGACACACTCCTACTTCCGCTTTCAGCAAACGTTAAATTTTAAACTCGGCTTTAAATTTGAACGAGTGATCTGCGCTGACTTTCTTGTTCACTCTTTCTCTGTTCGCCTGCAGCTTCATCCAGTACTGCAGAGATGAAGGAGGTTACACTGGATTCATTCGGGCAGAGGAAGATGAAGATGTGTTAGCTCGACTTCAAGCACTTTACATCTCAATTGAGGCCACAGGTAGCAAACAAAGGCTAATTACAATAATTGTGCCACTGAGTAAAAACATATGAAACTGAGGGTAATTCTTTCATAAAAACCTTCCTCATATGAACATGTTAAAATTCTCCACCTTGAATTTTGCTTTTCTCACCAGTTGAGACTGCAGAGAGTGTCATTCAGCAGCAGCTGGACCCTGAGTGGAGGAATGACATGTGAGCCAAAGGAGAGCCCCAAAAGGTGTTCAGAGGAATTCATTTCAGCACCAAGCACCATCAAACTGTCCTAAATGAACACTTTGCTATATCAAATGTCCAACAAAGATATAATTTTACTCTATGATCCCGACCAAAGACAATGATAGACATAACTGTATTGTGTTTAGAGCAAGTATATTGTCTCAGGGAACTGCACCACTAACACCAGCAACTTGTCACAATTACATGGAGACAATAAATCTTAAGACTGAAGAGTTCCTCGAGCAGCTTTTCCAGCACTAGGAGAACAGATGGAGCAGTCTACTCAGTGCATAGGATCGAAAAAACGTGCACTTTATATGCAAGGATTCTTCTGTGTCATCTGATCAAAGCACCATATAGTCAATAGAATCCAAAAGGAGTGGTTACGGACCTATGCTTGACTTTGTGAAGGAACAAATTACTTAAATTTACAGTTTTAAATTGATCTGTTTGTTAACTGGTTGTTAAATAACTGAAATGCACATGCAGTGTTGCCTGCCCATGTATGAAAATTTCAATGCATTTTATAATTACTGAACACAGAAATTTTGTTCATGTTTTTAAGCAAATTATTAAATTAAATCTAAGATGACAACACACGAGGTCACTTGAATGTTCAAACCTACCAATCTTTTTTTTTTTTTTTTTT